TCTCTCTCTCTCTCTCTCTCTCTCTCTCTCTCTCTCTCTCTCTCTCTCTCGTGTTCTGCGGATGTAGTGAAGTCAGATAACGAGAGGGTGAGAGGGGAATGGTGGCTTGAGAAGAGGAAGAAGAAGAACTCTCTCTCTATCACGAGCCAGATACTAACCTGTGAAGTTGGCGTTGTGCTGCTGGTACCTTGAAGACGAAGCTGGAGCAACGGCGCTGCAGGAAGGTACTCCTGGCCTCCGCCCAATCTCTCTCTCTCTCTAGTGCTGTCCTAGCTATGGCGCCCACCGCTGAAGACTACAGCTACCTACTGGCGCCCAGCGCTGAAGACTAATGCTAAAGCTACTACTACCTTGCAGCGCTCCCTCCAGAGTGCTGCTACCCAATCCTGAAGACTACTGACTGCCTCCTGCCTGCCCGTGAAGTGCATGGTAAGTCCCTATGTACTACCTCGGCCTGCCTCCTGACTGACTGCAGGGCGAGCCAGTTCGAGGAGGCTGCTCTTGCCAATGCCGAAGTGTGCCAGCGGCTGGCGCTGCAGCATCTGCCGAGGTTGTCATGGGAACAAGCTAAGAATAGCCTGTTCCCGAAACCCTCGTTCTGATGAGCGACCGAAAATGGCCCTTCGTCTGAAACGACACAGGGTCTGTAGGCCCCTGTTTTTCAGGCTTTCGGGCTGAACAGACACGGGTCCTGTAGGCCCTGGTTTTCAGGCTTTCGGCCTGAGGGACGCAGGGCCTGGAAAATGGCCCTCCTGTGCAGGCGCAGCATGTAGCAGTAGATGTAGGGTTTCGATCTGTAGGTCTGTCGAGTAGGGGTCATAGCTGTGTAGAGGTCGAAACTGCAGGTCTGTAGGTGAGTCGCAGGTCCAACTGCGTTGAGTCGTCAGTGCAATCTCATGCAGTCAGTGGTACCAGTCGCAGTCACCCTCAGTCCAGTCAAGCAAGTACCCTGTGGGACAGTGCACACCAAGGGCCTGGTGGAAAGGGGCAGACCAGGGCCAAACAGAAGTATAAATCAAGAAGCAGGGCCCAGCAATTCATTCATTCGCTGCGTAAGCCATGCGGAAGCGCTGCTACAGCGTCTTGTGCGAGGTGGTCTGCAGATCGCCCGAAGTTGAAGTGGGCTGAAGAGAGATAACATAGCCATAGTCAGTAGTAGTAGAGCGGCCATAGCCGTTGAAGGAGGAAGATAGGCTTTAGTGTGTGTGTGTGTGTGTAAGAGAGGGAAGTGTGTGGAGGAGTATGTGCGAATGGTGGTGTTGGACAGTGACGAGAGTTGGATGTGCAGGCGCTGAAGCGCCATAGCTTGTACAAGCGATTTTGCATCTGAACTGTGTTCTCGTTTTCCATATCTCTGAGCTTTGAGTGGGGGCAGCGCCCGCTGCGCCAGTGTGAATCGCCATCTGTTTGCATGTTTGCGAAGTGGAAAAGAAAGCGAGTCTGATTGCATTGGTATCGGAGCTGGTTCCTGTTACCCCATGTGTCATCATCGTTGCCAGCGGGGAAGGGTTAGGCGCCATAGCCGAGGTGCAGCATCGGAGAAGAGAAGTCCGCCATAGCTGCGCTGTGGAGGGAGGTGCCGCGTACCTGCACAGAAGACAACGACGAAGAAGAGAGAGAGAGAGAGAGAGAGAGAGAGAGAGAGAGAGAGAGAGAGAGAGAGAGAGAGAGAGAGA